GTCACTCAACTTTGGATCCTTCCAGTTTCTCTACATCCTTTCTATGCATTGGTGACCAAATTTGGTCACAATACTCTATCTCTAGAGAGGAAAGTGATCAGGAACAGCCAGCATGGATTCACCAAGGGAAGGTCATGCCTGACTAATCTAATCGCCTTTTATGATGAGATTACTGGTTCTGTGGATGAAGGGAAAGCAGTGGATGTATTGTTTCTTGACTTTAGCAAAGCTTTTGACACGGTCTCCCACAGTATTCTTGTCAGCAAGTTAAGGAAGTATGGGCTGGATGAATGCACTATAAGGTGGGTAGAAAGCTGGCTAGATTGTCGGGTTCAACGGGCAGTGATCAATGGCTCCATGTCTAGTTGGCAGCCGGTATCAAGTGGAGTGCCCCAAGGGTCGGTCCTGGGGCCGGTTTTGTTCAATATCTTCATAAATGATCTGGAGGATGGTGTGGATTGCACTCTCAGCAAATTTGCGGATGATACTAAACTGGGAGGAGTGGTAGATACGCTGGAGGGGAGGGATAGGATACAGAAGGACCTAGACAAATTGGAGGATTGGGCCAAAAGAAATCTGATGAGGTTCAATAAGGATAAGTGCAGGGTCCTGCACTTAGGACGGAAGAATCCAATGCACTGCTACAGACTAGGGACCGAATGGCTAGGCAGCAGTTCTGCGGAAAAGGACCTAGGGGTGACAGTGGACGAGAAGCTGGATATGAGTCAGCAGTGTGCCCTTGTTGCCAAGAAGGCCAATGGCATTTTGGGATGTATAAGTAGGGGCATAGTGAGCAGATCGAGGGACGTGATCGTTCCCCTCTATTCGACATTGGTGAGGCCTCATCTGGAGTACTGTGTCCAGTTTTGGGCCCCACACTACAAGAAGGATGTGGATAAATTGGAGAGAGTCCAGCGAAGGGCAACAAAAATGATTAGGGGTCTAGAACACATGACTTATGAGGAGAGGCTGAGGGAGCTGGGATTGTTTAGCCTGCAGAAGAGAAGAATGAGGGGGGGATTTGATAGCTGCTTTCAACTACCTGAAAGGGGGTTCCAAAGAGGATGGCTCTAGACTGTTCTCAATGGTAGCAGATGACAGAACGAGGAGTAATGGTCTCAAGTTGCAGTGGGGGAGGTTTAGATTGGATATTAGGAAAAACTTTTTCACTAAGAGGGTGGTGAAACACTGGAATGCGTTACCTCGGGAGGTGGTAGAATCTCCTTCCTTAGAGGTTTTTAAGGTCAGGCTTGACAAAGCCCTGGCTGGGATGATTTAACTGGGAATTGGTCCTGCTTCGAGCAGGGGGTTGGACTAGATGACCTTCAGGGGTCCCTTCCAACCCTGATATTCTATGATTCTATGATCTGAGGCCTAACCCATGCTAAGTAGAGCGGTACTGTCACCTCTCATGACTTGCATGCTATACCTCTGTTAATGCAACCAAAAATTGCATTTGCTTTTTTTTGGAACAGCATCGCATTGCTGACTCATGTTGAGGCTGTGATCCACCACAGCTCCCAGATCCTTCTCAGCAGTGCTGCTGCCAAGTCAGTTCCCCCCATTCTGTATTTGTGCATTTGATTTTTCTTCCCTAAGTGTAGCACCTTACATTTGTCTTTGTTGAATTTTATTTTGTTGTCTATAGCTCCGTTCTCCAATTTATCAAGATTCCTTTGGATTTTATCTCTATCCTTCAAAGTATTTGCAGATCCCCATCCCCCAGCTTTGTCTCATCTGCAGATTTGACCACTATGCTCTCTGTATTTACATCCAGGTCATTAATAAAGATGTTAACACCAGAACCCAGAACAGATCCCTGTGTAACTCTTCTTGAGACCTCCTTCCAAGCTGACATCATTCCATAATAGTTACTCTTTGTTTGTGGTTGTTTAACCAATTATGTACCCACTTAATGGTAGTACTGTCAAACCTGCATTTTACCTGCTTACTTATCAAAATGTGATGTGGGACTGTGTCAAAAGCCTTGCTGAAGTCCAGTACATTATGTCCACTGCATCCCCCCTTGCTTCCTTGCTTCCCTGAGCATTAGAGCCATCTTTTAAAGTTCAGCGAGAAAAATAATTATCACTTGGTATTTTAATATTGCAATCAATTTCCTAAAGCAGACAGCTGTCACCTACTTCCCTTACTTCACGTAAGTTGCCTGTTCCTCACCTTATTTCTTGCTCTTTGCCTTCACAAGAAGTTGTTTTCTTTTCTATTAGATTTTGAGTTATTTTCTTCAGTAAGTAACCTTTCATCCCCATATTTTGATCTTTTACTGTATATTTCTGTTTCACTACATTTGCCAGCTGCTCCCCTATCAATTTTCATTATTGTTGTTATTCCTCTGTATCATGTTATTTTCTTCTGCAGAAATCTACATGATACTCTATGCCATCTGCCAATACAACCAGTCTTGAGGTCTAGCACCTTCATATTCGGCTGTCTCCCATACAGTCTGGATTGCACATCTTTCCTCAGATATTATAACACAAACACATATTTAATGCAGTTTCTTCTGATCCCAATTGAGATGATTGAATATTGTTTTGTATCTCAGATTTCCTCTGCTTTCTACTCTTATATGACATGAGGGTTATGTGATTCTTTCCTCTAGTCATAGTTGGACTCATTTATTATTATTATTAATTCAGTTATGTAATATTGTAAGTTTACACTGCACTCTCCAAACACAGAGTAAGACGGAAAATATTGACCAATAGTTCAGGTGAAAGAAGGTGTGAAGATTGTTTGGGAGGAAAACAAGGTGGAAGGATTACTCATAGAATTGAATTTAAGCAGGTAGTTGAAAATGAAGAATATGATCATGTTAAATGTAGTGTGATTCTCTTCTTTGTTAATGGTTTGCCATTAAACCGCTGTCCTCTCAAAGCACTGCTTTCTATCTACAGTGTCTATATGCCCCCCCAATTCTGAAGTATCTAAGCCCTTCACAGTGCTTAATGTGTTTATCATCACAGCAACCCTGTGAGGTAGCAAAGTGCTATTACTGTATTTTTCAGATGGTGAACTGAAGCACAGAGAATAAGGCCCAGATCCTCAAAGGTTGTTCTTTTGGAAAAAATTACAAACAAGCAGACTACCGAGTCTTCAACTACCATTAATTTATTTCAGTCAGTAGGATCTACTATTTTATTTGGATGGTTGTTTCTATAACAAGGTTCTTTCCAGTCATTGAAATGGCCATGTGTTAGTTCCCATACTCTGTATTTTTATTGCTTCCCCATATACATACATTTTGCATTAGTTCTTTTCTTCTACTTCTCCTCTTGGGTTTTGTCTTGGCTAGGATAAAGTGGTCCAGTTTAGGTTGTGCTTCGCCTAACATAGGCTAACTTAAGTCTAACATAAACTCAAAATCTTCCTTAGTATGGATACGGTGTAACACCCTTTAGCTCAATTTAGCTGGTTGAGTGTTGGCCTGGGATTATGCAGCACAGCACAAAGGGAATCTAAAGAGACTGCACACTAAGCTTGGAGAATCTCCTCTGTTTAGGGGGCATCTCCTCCATTGGAGAGCTGTCAGAGATGCCATGGCCAACTTCCTACACTGGAAACACTCCCTAATCATAGAGGAGAGAGGTGGTGTATCAGGAAGGGGTGTAGAGGAACAAGGCCGTGGGGACATCAGTGGTGTCAGTTAAAAGTGCCTCCCAGTAGCTTTAAGTTACACCAGCGCTGGACATCTGAGAAACAGGGAACTGCACCAGTTTCCTCATAGCCTCCCCTCTTTACTGTGCTCGAGAGACTCATGTGCACAGTGCATAAACATCATGTTGTCATAGTTTGTAGCAAGGAAAGAATAAATGAAGTTAACCTTGCTCACTCCGCGCTGAGCATTGTATGGTGTATGGCAGGTAATATAGCCTGATGAAATCACCTTCTAAAGCAACACCATTTCACATTGTGGCAGAACTGGAGGTACAACTAGCTGCATATTAAAGAAAAGTTAAAAGTTGTCGATACAGGTGAGATGATGAGCTCAGGCTGGCAATGTGCTTTGGACTCTGCCAAAATAGTTGTGTAATAGTTGACAATGAGGAAACAGCCTGCCAGGACTTCTAAAAGTCCTTAGGTTATTGAAGTAGGTAGGAGATACATCCACCTGAACTCAGAAGTTCAGTCATGCCATTGTTCGCTGTCACGCATGCCTGACATTCAAGAGGAAACATTTTTAAACTTCCACTGAGAAGAAACAGCACAATTTTACAAACAGCTAAAGGGTTTGTAATTAAGCAATAAGCACTCCCAGTTATGTGTGATGATTTATTACGCTGAAATGGAGTTATCCTAGCCAATCAGAATCAGGAGTGTGATGTATGCAGAGGTGCAATTGTTCACTTCTTTTCCCCACTCTTAATTTATTTGCTTTCTGGTTGTGGACCATGACTGCTGTGCTGTTCTTTCTCAGTAACTGTATTGTGTATACTCAAACCAATCTCCTCTGATTGACTGCTATAATCCCTCTGCTCTGATTGGCTTCTAATCAGATTTTTCAAGTCATTTGCAGGCGACATTGAGGCTTCTCACACTCTTTATCTGAGAGAAAAGAAAAGAAAGCCATAAAGCAAAGAAAACAGGGCAACAAAACCCAAAGGGGGAAGGGCTGAAAGAAATGTTACCAAACCCTTTGACGCACAATAGAAAAAGACATAAAAACCACTACCTTTAAAGAACATTAAGGTTGCAAAGTCAAGCTCTCAAAAGTTAGGAAATGCCAGGCTTAAGTTGGGCCATGCAATCATAATTGGTTCCCCTTGTGTGTATGCATTATGATGCAGTCTTTAATTACATGATCTCAGGCTATATTTTCCAGAAGACCCATGCTCCATTCAGTGCACTGTATAGACTGTCTTCTGGGGAAGAGTGAGGGTTTTGTAGTGTGACAGGGTCAGGCCAGATGGCTACAAGAGAGTGGTCGAAGGTAGATACATTAGTTCCAGGTTAAGCAGGTCCTTTTCCCTGGGTAAGATAACAGGGACTATTTTTTTTTTTTTTTTTTTTATTGAAACAGAAAAGAAATTTATTTGTAACAGTTACAAAGAGTACAAAAGGATAAAGAAAAACTTAGCAACAACACAACGCAATCAGAAGGTATAACACAACAGCTTTTCAGGAGGGAGAGGTGTTCAGGGTAGCCCAGGCCCAGAGCGGGGGGGGCTTCCTCGACACTCGTGGTCTTCCACCCTCCTGAGTTACCTGGTGGCCTAGAGCGGGGGGGCTTCCTCGACACTCGTGGTCTTCCACCCTCTCGAGTTACCTAGTGCCACGCCCAGGGTCACCGACCCTCCCTCTCCCGAGAGTGCCCGGCAAGATGGGCACGGCTGCGGGGTGGGTGGTTGGGAGGGAGGGGGGTACACCCATGTATTATAGGACCCCTCCTAGAAGACAGTAATGATGGTATTCACAGCAACTAACGGCTGTGGCTGGCGGCTCTCGCTCTTTCCCTCAATCAGAGGGTCAGACGGAGGGAACCGGACGGGGTCACCGATAACAGGGACTATTTTTTTTTTTTTTTTTTTTTTTTTTTTGAAACAGAAAAGAAATTTATTTGTAACAGTTACAAAGAATACAAAAGGATAAAGAAAAACTTAGCAACAAAACAACGCAATCAGAAGGTATAACACAACAGCTTTCAGGAGGGAGAGGTGTTCAGGTTAGCCCAGGTCCAGAGCGGGGGCGCTTCCTCGACACTCGTGGTCTTCCACCCTCCTGAGTTACCTGGTGGCCTAGAGCGGGGGGGCTTCCTCGACACTCGTGGTCTTCCACCCTCTCGAGTTACCTAGTGCCACGCCCAGGGTCACCGACCCTCCCTCTCCCGAGAGTGCCCGGCAAGATGGGCACGGCTGCGGGGTGGGTGGTTGGGAGGGAGGGGGGTACACCCATGTATTATAGGACCCCTCCTAGAAGACAGTAATGATGGTATTCACAGCAACTAACGGCTGTGGCTGGCGGCTCTCGCTCTTTCCCTCAATCAGAGGGTCAGACGGAGGGAACCGGACGGGGTCACCGATAACAGGGACTATTTTTTTTTTTTTTTTTTTTATTGAAACAGAAAAGAAATTTATTTGTAACAGTTACAGAGAGTACAAAAGGATAAAGAAAAACTTAGCAACAAAACAACGCAATCAGAAGGTATAACACAACAGCTTTCAGGAGGGAGAGGTGTTCAGGTTAGCCCAGGCCCAGAGCGGGGGGGCTTCCTCGACACTCGTGGTCTTCCACCCTCCTGAATTACCTGGTGGCCTAGAGCGGGGGGCTTCCTCGACACTCGTGGTCTTCCACCCTCTCGAGTTACCTAGTGCCACGCCCAGGGTCACCGACCCTCCCTCTCCCGAGAGTGCCCAACAAGATGGGCACGGCTGCGGGGTGGGTGGTTGGGAGGGAGGGGGGTACACCCATGTATTATAGGACCTCTCCTAGAAGACAGTAATGATGGTATTCACAGCAACTAACGGCTGTGACTGGCGGCTCTCACTCTTTCCCTCAATCAGAGGGTCAGACGGAGGGAACCGGACGGGGTCACCGATAACAGGGACTATTTTTTTTTTTTTTTTTTTTTTTTTTTGAAACAGAAAAGAAATTTATTTGTAACAATTACAGAAAGTACAAAAGAATAAAAAAAAACTTAGCAACAAAACAACGCAATCAGAAGGTATAACACAACAGCTTTCAGGAGGGAGAGGTGTTCAGGTTAGCCCAGGCCCAGAGCGGGGGGGCTTCCCCGACACTCGTGGTCTTCCACCCTCCTGAGTTACCTGGTGGCCTAGAGCGGGGGGGCTTCCTCGACACTCGTGGTCTTCCACCCTCTCGAGTTACCTAGTGCCACGCCCAGGGTCACCGACCCTCCCTCTCCCGAGAGTGCCCGACAAGATGGGCACGGCTGCGGGGTGGGTGGTTGGGAGGGAAAGGGGGTACACCCATGTATTATAGGACCCCTCCTAGAAGACAGTAATGATGGTATTCACAGCAACTAACGGCTGTGACTGGCGGCTCTCGCTCTTTCCCTCAATCAGAGGGTCAGACGGAGGGAACCGGACGGGGTCACCGATAACAGGGACTATTCCAGAACACTCAGGAACTTTCTAGAACTAATTAAGGCAGGCAAGCTAATTAGGACACCTGGTGCCAAATGGGAAGCTGCTAGAATTAATTAAGGCTCATCAGGACACCTGTTTTAAAAAGACTGTCACTCCAGTTAGTGAGGTGTGCGTGTAAGGAGCTAGGAGTGAGAGGATGTGCTGTTGGAGGACTGAGGAGTACAAGTGTTAACAGGTATCAGGAGGAAGGTCCTGTGGTGAGGACAACGAAGGTGTTGGGAGGAGGCTAAGAGGAAGTAGCCCAGGGAATTGTAGCTGTCATGCAATGGTTCCAGAAGGCATTCTAAACAGCTGCAGTCCACAGGGCCCTGGACTGGAACCCAGGGTTGAGGGCGGGCCCAGGTCCCCCCCAAAACCTCCCAACTCCTGACCCAACACAGGAGCTTCCACCAGAGGTGAAGGTCTCTGAGCTGGTCCCTGACCCACATGGTGGATCAGCAGAAACTGCGGGGATTGTTCCTACTCTTTTTTCCCCATGCTGGCCAGTGATGAGGTTATCTGAGTGAACAGCAGATTTGAGCCATGAAAGTGGCCAAACTGAGGGCTGCCATGAATCTCTGAGGCGAGCAAAATCCACCAATAAGCACAGGACCCACCAAAGTAGAGGAGGAACTTTGTCACAGTAGAGAATGAGAATGTTTTCTCTAGGGCCCCTGATTCATTTGTTTGAAGAAGTTGCAAAGTGTGTGGCAAATGAGGCAGGAATCTGCAGGCAGAGAAAGAACAGTCTCATGGTTAAAGCAGTTAAGTGCGTCCCTGGAGATCTGTCAGTGCTTAGGCAAGTCACTTCAACCAAAATTTGCCCAGGTAGCCTCTAGCTGAGTCAGTTCCTCATTTTCTGGATGCCCAACGTGAGCAACCTGGAACAAAATTTGCAAAAGTGTTGAGCACAATTGCACCAACTGCAATTGTAGTGCATTGAAGCTCAGCTTTGTCCATATAAAGTTCTAGAAAAGTGCAAAGTACTCTGAAAAATGAGGCACCCAAACTTAGTGGTGAGCAATGCCGATGAGGAAATTAATAATTTTGTATTCAGTGCAGGGTTTGGATGGTGTGGGTTAAATAAGGCCTGGGGCCCCACATTAAATGAGGAGGAGAATGGGGAATGGGACAGCTGTCCTGTGGAGAAAAAAAACCGTATCACAATGCATACACATGTTATACTTAGAAAATGAAAACGAGCAGGATCTTATTCAGGGGATAAGGCAATATGCCGCATTTATTGTGAATACAGAAAGAATCAGAGTAAGCAATCAGTTATATCTATAACATTCCATTCACTCACACATTCATACACACACACACAAGTTCTGCAAGGTTGTTATTATAATTACCAGCCTAGGAATTGCTCGTGCCATGTCACTGGCCAGGTGGCCTAGACAGGAGGATGGAGCTGGGCCTTGTCAGATGCGCATCCGATGCTCCTGGAAGTTGGTTGCAGAACCAGACCCAGAGTCTTCAGTCTTTAGGGTCTGTCTTCATAGGGATCCATCCTCATCCTCAAAAGATCTTCTACACTTTCCACAGTATGCATCTGATGAAGTGAGCTGTAGTTCACGAAAGCTTATGCTCAAATAAATTGGTTAGTCTCTAAGGTGCCACAAGTACTCCTTTTCTTTTTGCGAATACAGACTAACATGGCTGTTACTCTGAAACCTGTCATTATTTAAGTTGAGCATCAGTGTGGACACAAGAACAAATGGATATAAACCGGCATTCAACATGTTTAAGCTTGAAATTAGATTAAAGTTTCTAACCATCAGAGGAGTAAAGTTCTGGAACAGCCTTTCAAGGGGAGCAGTATGGGCAAAAACCTAACTGGCTTCAAGACTCATCTTGATAAATTTATGGAGGGGATGGTGTGACGAGTCTGCCTACAATGGCATGTAGCCAATCTGCCACTGCTAGCAGCAAATATTTACAATGACTGATGATGAAACACTAGATGGGGTGGGCTCTGAGTTACTACAGAGAACTCTTTCAGAGGTGTTTGGCTGGTGAGTCTTGCCCACATGCTCAGGGTCTAACTAATTGACATATTTGGGGTTGGGAAAAAATGTTCCCCAGGTCAGATTGGCAGAGACCCTGGAGTTTTTTTGCCTTCCTCTACAGCATGGGGCATGGATCACTTGCAGGTTTAAACTAGTGTAAATGGTAGATTCTCTGTAACTTGAAGTCCTTAAATCATGATTTGAGGACTTCAATACCTCAGTCAGAGATTAGGGGTCTATTACAGGAGTGAGTGGGTGAGGTTCTGTGGTCTGCAATGTGCAGGAGGTCAGATGATCATGATAGGTCTCTTCTGAGTTTAAGGTCTATGAGTCTGAGATACCCACCCTGTTAGAACAATATTGCTGGAATCCTTGGCCAATGGTTTTCAACTTGGAAGCCTAAATTTAGTCTAGATTTTCAGAAATGCTGAGCCACCCACAAATCGCAGTGAAATTCCCAATGGGAGGTACAGGAGCACAGCACCTTTGAAAGTCAGCTTGTTTTTATTGAAGTGAATAGGTGTGGATTTAGTTGCCTAACTTTAGGCACCATAGTTAGATCATTTGAGCCATAGTTCAGCAAAAGCATTTAAGCACCTGCTTAAGTCTATCCCAGTCAGCAAAGCATATAACCACATGCTTAACATTAATGTGCTTAACTCCCATTGATAACTTAAGCATGTGCTTAAATGTGTTGTTGTGGGCCCTAAATCCATACTTAGCACCTAAAAGAGTGGCTTGATGTTCACAGGTGCAGAGTACCCACAGTTCCCATTGAACACTAGCTGAATACCCTAATTTATGCTTTGGTTTCCTTCATAAACTCTCCTTGGAAAAAGCCTAAAACTTTCTTTCAAATTCTCTTACAACTTTCATTTTGATTAAGATGAAAGCTGATTTATTTTAATTTATTAATTTTTTGTAGAGGAACATTCTCTTCTAATTAATATTTCAGTTGTTAGCCTTGTTGATGAAGTGGCCTCTGGGCAGTGCTCCACATAGCTCCTCACCCAGTTTCCCCTCTTGGATCTCCAAATAAACTCCACAGAGAGTTTTTCCAATCCAATGATAACAGCCCTCCTGAGGGTCTGATTTATTCAGAACTAAACACTAAAGTCTTTCTTCCAGCCGGGTACAGCCCAAACTGCCCTGGATGGGTCAGAGTCCTTCCTTCCTGCCTTACCAGGCTATTCGCTGCCTTTCCTGGGTGGAGCAATTCCCCTGGTCTCAGGGTCTTCCCTGCAGGAGCCTCTCTCACTCTGCAGTCTCACTACAGTCTCCTGAGCTGCCTCCTTACTGCAGCCACCTGCTCTTTATAAGAAATTTCCCGATTCCCCTCAGGTGGGGCTCGTTCTGTAGTCAGGGTTGGCTTGGCCCCATGCTCTGCAGCCCAAGGACAAGCCACTGTATTACAACCTCGTTTCGTTCATTCACAGCTATAAAATATAATTAGCCATTTTTCATAAAAATAAAAGGCAGTTTCATTGTGGGTTTATACACCATGCCCGTTGGCTGTCTGCTTAATAGACAGCTACAGGTATATTGCATCCCTAAATTGTGCTTATTATTTTATATATTTCTAACTGAAATATTCATATAGTACGTCTGAACAATTCTAGAAGGCATCCATTATAGATACAGGTTCTGGTTTACGTTCAGTGCATATGCTTGGTTTATTGCCTACAGTGGGCTTTAGAGTATACACAGGATCTCTTTATCTGTGTCTACCGTTCTCATTGCTCCTTTGCGCTAGCAAATTTTCCTGCAGCACTTGATGTGTCAAATTACCCTGATTGATTGTAGCTGTAGATTTTTTGTAAAGAGAGGGACTTACCATCCAAACCACACATTAGGAAAAGTTAAACTTTTGCAATACTCCAACTAGTGCTTAGATGGAGGCCTTGACATTATAGGAACATAGGCATTGCCATACTGCATCAGACAAATAGTCCAGTTAGGCTAGGATCCTGTCTCTAGAAGCGACCAGAGGAAAACACGCTGCAGCTGGCAGCTAAGGGAAAGGCTATCCCCAGAGAGAGTTCCTTCCTAACAGTCAATAGCAAGATGTTGGCTTATACCTCAAAGCTTGAGGCTTTATCTGTTCCAAAGCAAATCTGGCCACCTTACTGCTCACTTGTCTAGATTGCTAATGAATATTTATAGCAATAGGTTAATAACATTAAGTGGAATGTACAAGGGTTGATTGTGAAAACTGCTCATGTCCCATAATAAAGGATGGTGCCGAATGCCACCCAGGACATGGCTGTGCCTTCTCCCTATTTTTTCTGTCTCCCTTTGGGGTGCTAAAGAAGAGCAGGGAGAGCACAACCTTTCATCTCCCTTGAGTGTAAGAACTGGAATTCTGCCCAGCTTTTATGTGAGTCACGCAAGGAAGAGAGGCTCCTTGCTTGCACACCCTCATAAGGAGCAGGAACAATCTGGCCTTCAATTAACGCTTCTCCTTTCTGCAGTGTTATTTGCTTGGTGAGTCATAGGGTTTAAGGCCAGAAGGGACTGCCAGATAGTGTGACCAAATAGCAAGTGTAAAAACTCGGGGCGGGGGCGGGGATAAAAAGCCCCCAAAATCAGAACTGTCCCTACTGCCAGATCATCTGGCCCAACGTTTCTCAATGCAGCCACCAGGGGCTTTTTGCGTGGCCACAACAGCCTCCTGGGCAGTGATGGGGGGCAGAAAAGCATCAGCCCCTCTCTCTCCCTCTTTGTTGCTCCTGGATGCGCTGCCCTGTACTGTACACAATGCTGCAGGAGCAAGGCGAGTTCTTGACCCATCTTGGGGGGAGGGGGGTTGAGCGGCAGGCTCCAGTGGCGGGACTTGAGGAACCTGGCCATGCGGCCCTGGCCTCCAGCTGCGGGGCTCCAGCCCCTGGTTCCAGCTGCGTGACAGAAGGTGCTGGCTCCCAGCTCTAGTCCCAGGCTCCAGCCAGACAGTGGCAG